ATTTCTGAGAAAAAACGAATTTCTCAGAAAGAAACAATAGATGAATTTGAGTACTTAGATCGAACATCTTCGATAGGAATCAAATTGTCAGTCGGGGGTGACTCACCCCGCGATCTGGGCTCCGATCCCGTTACAATTCGTAACGAGGAGGGGAAACCAATTAGAGAACGGGGGCAGATCGACATCGCCCTATCGGAATGTTCGATCTGGGACTCAGAAAAACTTATAAAAATCACGCAAAAATAGGATGTGACGTTCTTGGTTCTTAGTTCGGTGTGCTCCGCTTCTGGATTTTTCCTACGGTTTAATAACTGGAACTTGGTCGTCGTCCCGAAAGAAGTTTTCGCCATCCTGCCTCAGCAAGTTTCGCCAAGGGTAATCTACTGCGAGAATCACCCCTTCAAGTTGTGCTGTGCACCCCGGAGCCTACGTTTTCCTCATCATCTTCGCCAAAGGAAGAGAAGATCGTAGAAAAGATTGAACTTTATTTATGAACTGATTCACTCTGTGGATAGGCCTTACGCCGAAGAAAACAGTAGTTGTAAGCGAAATTTTTATATTTAATAAATAGTTTGCGATGGAGGATCTGTCTCAGTAAGTTTTTCCACTCCCACACGACAGTGCTGACCGCTCGACTGTCGCGACACTTTCTCCCCAATCGGCAAACCTCGCAAATTCCTGTTTTTTTTTTATTACAAATAACTGACCGTTCCAAGCGTGTTAACGTTTCGGAATGGAAGTAACAGTAGAACATAAGACAATTTTTAAATAAAAACATCGCGGTTATAATGCGCATGTGCTATGCGCCTCCAAATTGTGGAGCTAGATACGTTGTTTTAGATAATTATACAAATTGATCCACAAAAGGGGCAAATCAAGTGTGGGGGTGTTGCAGGGATTTAATATGTTGGAAAGGAGGGCCTCCCAAATATATACATTTCTGTTATTGCAATGTCTTATTATGGCCACCTCGTCCCACAACGGGATATGTTGGTGTTGTACTGTAATACCATTGTAACAAGCTCAGTTTCATTCCTGCCTTCCCTATAGATACTGATGTTCTGAAATACGACAAGACAACATTCTAATTGTCGCGCCAACATAATGGGTGCGACCACCCGACATATTTTCTAATGAGATAGAATAAACCCCCGGTCTTTCAAGAATGGAAGTAGGATCCCTGTCATTGGATAGCAACCTCCTAAAATTTGGCCGTGGGGAAACTGGCAGAAAAACGCATGCCGCCTAAAAATACGGCAAATACGGAGAGTGACGTGACCACAAAATGGTATCGCAGGAAGGAGTATTGTGGAATCTTTCGGGAGATGCAGTGTAGTAGCAGGGTCTTTTTACTTTATTTAAGATGTAGATAAATTTGGCATTATTGTAGCCTGCCTCATTTACAGCACAGCGAATGATATTAAGTTCGGTATCGATAGCAGTTTGATTGGAAGATAAAAGAAAGGCCCTTCTAATTAAAGGTTCGATTGCCGCAATGTTGTGGCTGGTATGCTGTAGCAGGGATCAGGGGAAGTACACCACTGAACTTGTGGAATACGGAATACATTATGGTATCCCGGGATTTAACAATCTTTTAGATCCACGAAGACAATCTCATTTTCTTTGTCTTTTTCCCAGGTAAAATTAATTGTGGGATAAGTGGTCGCGAGACAATCATTCGCTGTGCGGGGACATATCCGAACGGACCACCCCCCAAAAAATTCCTGGGGATTTTTCGACCCGTTTGGATTAGATCCCGGGTCTCCCAGAGGATGGCTGCTACCTTGACCGCTCGAATTTTCTGTATCAAGATGCAATTCAAATTATAACAGCGAAACATACATCCCATGATTTCCTTTTTTAAGAGCAGGGCCGTGCGGTAGATTTTCTCAGTATGATGCAAGTCTTCACAAAGTCTTCGAAATCAAATGCTGTTTACACAATGCGGCCGCTTCTCTGTATCATAGCACGTACTACGGTACGGCCCTGTTTAAGAAATTAAGAGAAGAAGAAAAACGTGCATTATGGATTCGGACTATTTATTGTAAAGATTTTAATCCAGTTCAACGGCAGTAAGTTACGTACATGAATGAAATTAATGTATATATTGTAAATTATTTAAATTATTTATATTTATTATTTATAAATAATTAATAACAGGATCTAAGAAAAATTGTTTTTCGCTATAGTGTACTGTATATTATACTTTATATTTCTCAATTATCCTTCTTATTTGTTTATTTTTTTATGCCATGATAAAAATATTGAAATATGTTTTAAAGCTATATTAATTTTAAGTAACGTTAAAAAATTACAACCGAATTACTTTTCAACAAATTAAGTGCAGTATTCAATTTTGCCGCTATGTAATATTTTACATGCAGAGGGCGCTTCTTTATCAGATCACGTGAATATCTGTGTTTACGAATTTTGATGAGGATGATGAGTTGATTAGGTGAGGTCGAATGAGAATAAAAGTTTAAATAAAACGTATAAATTTAAGACTTGGTAATTGTTTATAGTGTTAAAATTAATTATAAATATTCTTTGATATAAAATTATAAATAGTATTACAGATTAGACTATCAAATGTATGATATCGGATTTTTCAAAAAATAAATTTTCTAATTAACACAAAATTAGGCAGTTTGTTCGTCAATTGCACAAATTGACTTAAATTTCGTTAAAAGTTAATTAACTGTCCTCTTATCAGCTGAAGAAAAGATAATTTTAAACAAAAAAATAAATAATATCTAGATATATAAAGGATTATACTAAATTATTTTTATATTAAAGTAATTATCTTGATTAATTCAATTGGTCATATCAAAGAATCAAATAAATTTGTCTTATTCGTTTTATTTTGTTATTATTTTTAAAATGGTAATTTTTTTTCTTAATTTGAAGAAATTATTTTCCTAATTTTATTTTTAAAAATTTTAAAAATTACTTTAAAAATAACTCATTTATTTTTTTTAGATACTGCTAAAAATTTACCCGTTCTAATTTAGCAAAAAGATAATTCATTAAATCTTCTTTTGAATACATTTTATAAATTATATTAATTACAATTAAAATTAAATATATTTCATTTTAAAGTATATTAATAAATTGCTTAAATTTTTATAATAATTAAAAATTAATTAATAAAACTGCTCTTAATATAAATTAGGTCAAAATCGCCTTATATACAAAGAATACTTATTACATAAATACACAATGAATACAATATGTTTATTTCTATCATTTTGTATTTTTTAGTTTTCTAAGAAAACGATTTGTCGAGAAAAAATCTACAGCAATAATTCTTTTTTAGTCCTATAGGACGAAGGATTGAATGGTGTTATTTTCCAACAGGTGAATCCCAATACACAAACTTTTGCAATTGCCTGATTTCCTGAATCTTTGTTGTAAGGAAATTTGTTAAGATGTTCGTAGAACATTCAAAGTTTATCCAACAAATTAACTAAATTACAATAAATTCATTTAATTTCACTTAAAAAATAATTTTTCTTTTGTTTTTTCTTGTGAAAGACGTCAAAATTTACAACTTATTCACGCAGAATAGTGAAAATTTAGTTTTTTAATATCAGAATTGTATAAATTTTCATTTAAATATTATGAATTATTACTAAAAATTTTTTTTGAATAAAAATGTCTATAAGCATTATTCGTAAATAATCATAATATTAAGTTTAAAAATTTAATAAACACTTGAGCTATTAACATAACTTTTTTGTACACATTTTAATATTTTTTGTCCATTATATAACTAGAAATATAGTAAAATACATATTTATTAATTAGATATTTTTGAAAGTTACGTGATTTTCAATTGAGAATAATTAAGAAGTTAATTAAATATTTTAAAATAAAAATTGAAGACACAGTTTGTTAAAATAGCAGCTATCATTTTCACTGTTTCGGAATACAACTTTTAATGACCAATCCTTCTTTGTAGGCTAGTTAGCCGCAAACTTTTAAAAAACCCCTTTTAAAATAGTGAAAAATATCTAATTAAAAACAAACATTTTAAAAAATTAGAGCTGGTCTTTCTTTTCCATTATCGATATCGGTACGATATTGGAGCTATTTCAGCAGACTGTGTTCAATTTTAATGTTAAATTTAAATTACTATCTAGTGATGAAAATTCAAGTAATTAAATATTTATTTAAATCTTATTAAAAACAAAAATAAAAAATACTTTATCCTGTTAATTCTGTTTATATTTAGAAAAATAAATAAATAAAATTCAAAAAATTAAAATTAAAATTTTACACAATTTGGACTGCAATTTGAAATATTGTGCACTACAAACTCCTACTGTCTGTCCTTCCTTAATCTCGAAAACGGCATTAGATGGATGAAAATAGAGACCTAACATGAAAAGCTTAGGGACAGGAAGCGCCAATTAACTATATACGAAATCACGTGACTTCAATTCAAAAATTTTCTCCAGAACGGAGTTACGTAGATAATTGTCATGACGCTGTTGTTATCAGGAAAACTATGTACAGGGGCAAAACACTATTAATTTGAGATGGAGAGCATAGATTTTAAATTAAATAAATTTAAAAATATGATTAAAAATTGTAGCCCGGCATTGTGACGATGTAATAAATAATTACTCATTTTAATTTGTTTTTAGGTATAATTAAATTTTGTTAACGAATGAGTTAAATATTATTTTACATTAATTGTGCGTTGTAGCAATGTCAATATGAACTATATGATTATAAATTATATCTATAATTAGTGCAGTTTTAGGGACAGGTATTCTAGGTTTTTGCTTAGAATCTCGAGTCTCTAAGCCGCAGATCGTAAACAAAAGTGTTTAGGGCATCAGACACATGCAAATACAGTATACGTTTATCGATATTCGGTCTTGATCCAATACTCAGAATTCAGTATTGATTGAAACCCTATATTTTAAACATATCTTGTAATATGCGCTTTATATTGAGTTATATAAACTTTTATAAAAGAGACCTCGCGAGTCCTTGTTTGTCTAGGACCTCGCATAATATTCCATTTCTTCCAGATACAAAAATTTGAGATATTTATGCATACAGCAGCGGAGGAATATATAAACATTAATTTAATCATACAATAATTGAAGGTAATCACGTTTAATTTCAATGATTAACAAATTATTATTAATTTTTAAACAATATTAAATTTATATTTTTAAATGATTATTTGTTATATTTATATTTATATATTTTTTATTTTTATTATTAGATATATAGCCTGCTTATTTTAAGTAACAAGAGAATGCACTCAGTTTTATGTCAGTTTTATTATTTCAAATTTTAATAAAAATATTTGTTTATAATCTTCATTTATTATTTACATTTTGAAAATAAAGTTAAAATCCTTTATTATGATATTTATATAAAACTTTAAAATATCTGTAAATGTAATAAAATCTTAATTTCAAATAATAGGTAAATTGTTTAAAAAAATATAAACGTATCAGAATAATTATTTAAAAAGAATACTTAGCATAATTGATGNTGCAGATAGTAAAAAAAAAAAACACATCTGTATGTAATCAAATCAAATATTGATGTGTTTTACTACTTAAAATCTTACGGAAAGATTAGCACGAAACTTTTACATCTATTCCATTTAATTCCCTGATTGTGATATGTTTCTTGTTTAAATTAAATTTTCTGACCATATTTACCATCACAAGACTTATGTTTGAATCTGAATCGGAGCTTCAATTTTCCTCCATCTATCCAGACTTTCTACATGAACACATGATGAACACTTAAGGTTTGTTGAAAATTGTCCACATGTTATGTTGACAAATGGGCATTATGCCAAGGGGTGCCACTTGGGAGGACTATACAAGAAACTGGCACCTATTTAGGTGTTACAAAGGTGAAGAAAACCCAAATTCCATACAGCCAGCCTGTTGGCAGAGAACCCATGACCAACTATCGGCATTCTGTGGTTTTATTCATTCGGCCGTTGGCAAATGCCTTAATTTAATAAACTGTTAGACTAATTTGCCAAAATATTTAGCAGCTCATTGTACAAGTTCCCTAAATCCTGCCATTTCAAATCTTGTAGCAAATTACTTCATCCTACTAATACTGAACTTCTACATGTTAAGTAATTTTAATTAAAACTATAATATATTCATTTTAATAAGTTTTATTTGAAATTTTAATATATCTTTATGTTACAACATTCAGTTTTACAATTCGACACCAAGTCTTTAAAAGAAAAGAAAAAAACAATACAAAATATTAATATGTTGGCTTTTCCTTCTGTATGGGAAGCAAATGAAATCTTCGCTTTATAATGAGTCTGTGTTTGCTATATTTGTCTTCTGGGGAAAATCTGGCTGCAAATCAAAACTAGTGTCACAAAAAGCTACAAATAAATTTAAAATGACTAAAATGTCTTACCGGGATGAGCCGATACAGTCGGTTTACCCTCCTGATCCGTATCCTGAAAAAAATCAATGTGATAGTATAGCAGAGATCTACATTAACTTCTACATTTTAGATGCAGTCAGACCAGTTTATCCGTATCAAATGAGACCGAGCCCAACTCGGATTAACCGAAATTGGTATGGTACTGGAATTAAAGTATAAAATTCTGTACCGAAAAACTTTTTAATAATTGAAAATCAATTTAGATACTTTATTGACTTGAAAACAACATTAAAATTATTCAATACATTCAAATGGTATGTATCTTTATCCTTGTAATCTCACATTTGTAAGGGTAAATCATGTTTCAAGAGATATATCTGAAGATGAAGATTTCTTTTTTGTCTCTGTTTTGTAGACACTAAAAGTGTTTTTTACTGAGGCCCATAATGGGCCCAATTCCATCACAATTCTCCAGAGCAGTAAGAATAACTATCAAACCAAATGTTTATTGTCAAGGAGTTGCATTGACCATCCATTACAAACTACTTATTTATTTTACTCCTGCATGATACGGGAATGAGATTCTACTAGTCATTACACAGATATTCAGTTCCAAACATAAATCTCTTCATTATATAGGATTTAATGATATAAAAACAATAGCCAAAACAGGGTTTAATTTACCACAATTTAAACTGTCTGATTTCAGCTGTATTTACCCAAAATTAGCATAACAGGGAGTTGCAATTTTAGTGAAAAACAACAACACACCTCAAACTGTTTTGGAAATTTTATAGAGTTGAGTACAATTTAAATTTGATTGCACATGCAGGCTTTGAGTCAGATATTTTATTATTGATTTTTTAAAATGAACACAGATGATTCTACTATACAAAGATAATACAATATATAAGTATGTAATATGGTAATGCATAAATACTATTATACATAATAGAATGGGAAAGTCACTTGCTCTAAGGATCTGGATTCTATTCAATATCAAACATGGTGGCCAAATGACGGCACTGCCTGCTCACACTCAACTCGTTGCCATCTCCATATAAAAGTACTATTTGGAAGCCAGTACTTATTTCTTACACGTCAAAGACACTTAAATAATAAACTACACATGTAATAACAGTAAGAAGTGTTTGAAAGTATAGGTTCTATTAGTGGTCCTCATAATACAATAGCTGATCTTGACGAACAAACCACACGACCATTAAACAAAAACATCACGCTCGCATGCATACATTTAGGCAATTTAAATGAACAAAAAGAAACACGAAACAACTAAACTTACTTTAAGTGTGTAAATGCGATCTCCACTTTCATTTAAATAATATTTTAAATACATTTTTAACGTGCAAATACAACCACATGGATATCTCAGAATAATAATAAATACCCTCTAGTGGCAGAAATAGTTCCTACATCGTACAAAATATATTACTTAATATTAACATTAAATATTTATTTTATTAATATTTATTTACTATTGCTGTTAAAGATTTTAAATAATGTTATTCGAAATGTATTAATAAATAATAATTTTTTAAGTACGCAATTACATACGAAAGTATTGTACTGTCAATTCTGTGCGTTCGCCATCTTATTTGATTCGGTTTTCTCTTTAATTTCGTTTATTTTTTTGGCCATTTATCTATTTATTCGGGTTCGAATTTACTTCGCAAATTCGAACCCGAATCTTACGCGGTGATATACAATGGTGCTCAATCAAACGTCACAACTTTCATTGTTAATATTTATCCATTGTTTCTGAATTACCGGAAACTGTTATTATAGTAGTATGATATAAAAGTTGTTTGAAAGGCCTTCAAGAAGAAAGGGATTTTTTTTTATCGGGCGCAGAGAAAACTTGGAGGCTCTTAGTGATTCTTGCCCGTATAAAATTAATTAATTAAGACTGACTTTTAATAATAACGAAACATTCTATAAATTTAATTTGTTCAAAAACAAAAGGCCAAAAAGGCCCTTCAAGTGGCTTGGGTCCCCACAACTCTCGACCAAAGGCTAGATAGGAAACATGCCACTCCGAGAATACGGGAACGAAAAACCACAAGAACCTTTCGGGGTGTTCTGTCTGTATATGTCATACCCAATCCCTCATCACAGGCCTGGCCGAATCCATGAGGCTTGCTAAAGAAAAGGCCGCTTAGTGCCACAAGACGGAGATAGAGACGATTTGATATATTCTGAATGTATTAATGGTACTTGAACTCGTCGCAGGACGTATAAAAATGGCAAAAACGTTAGGGATCATCTAATTACGTGTAATTTTTGACTTGCTCTCTCTCTGTTGTGTACAATGATGTATTTTTGCCACCTCTCGTTAAATTGCAAATACGATAGTTCGTGGACCCCAATATCGAAGAAACGACCTCAAATAATTCTCAAATATTTTCTAACTGATGGTTTATTTGCTTGATTAGTAGGCTTCCTTCTTTGTTTTTGAAAACCCTTTCTGCCTTGTGGGCACTAAAAAGATCTTTTAAGCAACTTCCACTGTGGGTTTGGTCGGTGCCACAATGGAGCAACTCGACCTATAACCTCGACTGTTTCTTCTCGTAAGCATGAAAAACAGTTCATCTGACCATCTTGTATTTCTTCCATGTGTTAGGAACATTGAGTTTCTTTATGGCAATGTGACTTGGCTGATGCCTTCTGAAACACTATTTAGGTGTTACTAACATTTGAGTCAAATCATCTGGATAACTCAAGAAAGTAAAACAATGCTACGAAGATTTTGAGCTTGCATTTGTGTTGCAAGTAGCATGTCAACTCAAGTTTGAGTCGATTGCCCCAAGTTGATGTGCTGCTTGCAACACGAATGCAAGCTTGAAATCGTTGTAATGTTAATGACGAACCGACGAGTTTTCTGATCTTTATCGGAAACATTTAATATAATATTGTTGCTTAAACAAAAAATTTTATTGTGTTCAGACTCTTAACATCACAAATATAAAACAATAAAAATTACAAATAAAGACAATTACTAGACAATTATTCTATCTTCTTTCTTGCTCTTGAAAAAGTTGCTTCTTCAATTTCCACTTTTCGCCTCCACTCTAAAAAAATTTCAATAATTATATAATGTCTGCAATTAAATACTGTGCTCAATACAGTACTATGGAATGCTCCTCACCGTGGGTGTGCCGCCGACGTCTATAATTTCTGCTTTCTGCCTAGACGGAGATTCAGTTTTTGTGTCGACAAGAATGGAGTTTGATGGTGGTGCCGCCAAAGGTGCTTCTAGACTCTGTACAAAAGAAATATAATTTTCAGAATACGGATTTTCTTTTAGTTTTATAAAGCAAAATCTATACCTTTCCGGGTACCATGGCTTCGTACTGATGACGAAGAGTCTGTAGCTCAAATTCACAAGTCGCCAGTGCCAGTTTCAATTCATATAGCAGAACCATATCGCTTCTAAGTTCATTGAAGAGTACACAAATCTCTTCGGTCGGCATTGGATTAAGATCTAAACGGGCAGGAATGTAAATGTAGTTACAAAAACAGTAACTAAGTGTGTACAGAAAATTTAATTACTAGAAATATTCTATATTTATAATATGGAATCCTGTATTGATCTTCCTGAATTGTACGTCGATCAATAGAGTAATCACCTAAGTTTCATGTACTATCTGCAATCAAATGTCTTCTTTTCTGCTGCTTGTAGAATGTGCCATAAACAAAAATGATGTTCCGCAATAGGGAAGGCATTTTGCACTCTGCCATCCACAAAGTCAGAATTGATCATCACCACACGATAAGAATGTCTGCCTTACATGATGAATCATTTTGAAATTGTGTGATAAACTCAAAAAATCTTTAAATATTATGTTGCACAATGAGCGATTCCGACTTTGCAAACTGCAGAATACAAAACATTTTCTCTGTTGCAGAGTCACCGTTTTCATCTACACTTCCTAGAGGCAGTAGACAAAATGATGTTTAAGTGTGGACGGTATACAAAATTCTGTCAATTATTCTTTTGATTGATGTACAATGCACACTTCCTAGGTAATAATTATCATAATTACAGTAATTTAAAACAATGGAATTCTTTTTGGAAGACCATGTAATACTGTCTGAATTTAGTCAATAGATATATACAGAAATATTTCTGATTAGTTGACAGCTCTATTTCCAGTTACTACTAATTCTATTTATTGTCTTTTGCAAGTCACAATGTTTTATGTTAAGAAAATGCTTCTTTCTGCATGGCCATCAAGTAAAATATGCAAATAAATGTATTTTTTATATGAAACTGTATTTGGTATTTTTTATAAGAAACTGTAAACTGGATACAGTAAAGTAACTTATGTATCTGATGAAAGTGCAGCCATATTAACTTTGTATGTCTATGGACTCTAATCTAAAAGAATATTAATATAAATGAGAATTATTTGGGTATTTTGTTTGGGGCAGTAGCTAGAGTGGCTAAAATCAGTTTGGGGCAGATGCATAATTATTNTGGCCAGATTTGAGCGATTCATTTAGTAATTGAGCTGAGGAGATTTTGTCTTATTAATCATAATTTATTATGTTACTAAGCTTAACTCTAAACAGTAAAATTGGGCAATAATATACTACAACGGTAGAAGTTACTTTTAGATAAATGATCCATATATAAATATATAGATATTAACGTAAAAGTAACTTACTACTTAATATGACCAATTCCTGAAGTACATTTATTTGTCGAAATATTTATTTACAAAATTTCTATAATATCAGATAGTAACTACGTAAGCGTAATTATAATTTCGAATGTTTCTCAACTATTTTATGTATTTAATTACATAACACAGTAGAACTTCGTTAATTTGGCACTCTTGAAAAATATCCAATAATCCTGAATTTATTTCGATACGTAGTGCAAAAATAAATGCTGTATTGTAATAAATGTGCACATGAATCATTGTGGATGTTGATTTTATGTAATGTCTTCATTATTCAGAGCTTCAATTGAGTCTATTCACTAACGTTTTGCAGATTTTTCAGTCGTGCTATGATTTAATCAGTCTGAAGATACTACAAAGCATCTTCAGACTGATTAAATTGCATACAAAACAAATTGAAGCATTCAGTGGCATATGCTAGCACAAAATGTATGGCAATGCCTGCAATTTTCGGATTGCATGTAACTTCTCAAAAATACAAAAATGTTTGATAATGCGCCTCTGCTGTGGTCTTCATAGATGCCAGATTAACTGAACCAATACTGCCTTTAAAATAAGTAACGATTGTTTTAAGTTTTTATAAATAATCAAATGAAAAACCATTGCTAGCTAATGTTAGAGTGATTTTTTGTTAAAAAATATATATAAATATTATTAATCTCATTATTTATCATTTTATTCATTTATCATATTTTAATTTTTTTAAGTAAACAAAAGCTTTTTTCAGATTTAGAAATTTTTAAATGATTACAGAAATATTTTAATTTAGTAATTGTAATAATTTTATCAGTATTATTTTATTAAACAATTTCATATTGAGCTGAGATTAATTATAAGTTTCTTGAATAGATTATTTCAAAAGATTTTGTAAAAGATGAGCAAATTCAAGTTGTTGACCTTCGATGTCACGAACACGCTATTAAAGTTTCGCATGTCTGCTGGAGAAGCGTATGCTCGCACGGCAAAGATATATGGTGTTCATGTAGATGCGGCTCGGTTAAATGAAGCATTTAAAACACAATGGAAATTACTAAGAAAATTACATCCTAATTTTGGAGCTTATGAAGGCCTTACATCTCAACAGTGGTGGCAAGAAATGGTGAAGAGGACATTTCGTGATGGTGGATGTTTAGATGCAAGTGAAAAACAGATAGAATTAATTACTAATCATCTTTTCAGTGATTATTGTACCAATGCTTGTTGGGCTGTATATCCTGGTACACAAGAAATATTAAAAAAGTTTAAAGAAATGAATATTAAAATGGGAGTTATATCAAATTTTGATGAAAGACTAGAGAATTTGCTAGTTACAATGAAATTGAGAGATTATTTTTGCTTTGTTCTTCCTTCTTACATTATAAAACATGAAAAGCCATCAGGTAAAATTTTTGAAATAGCACTCAGTCATGTTAGAAGTTCAGGAGTGAAAGGAAAAGATGCTGTTCATGTGGGTGATAATTTTGAACTTGATTATCTGGCTGCTAAAAATGCAGGATGGAATGCTATTTGGCTTGTTCAGGAAGAAAAAGATCTTGAAAATCTGAAAAAAGTAAATCAGAATGATGTGATTTATAATATAGCTGAACTAGAAGATCACATCTTAAATTAATTAAAATTTATTTAACTAGAAAGATCTGTTTTTATACAAGTAAATGTTATATTCTGTATGTTAGTAAATGCAATTTACTATATATATATGTTTCTATAAAATTTTTAAGTTTTTAAACTGTATATTAACAGTTACCAGAAAACTTCCAACATGTATATGCTGGAAGTTTTCTGGTAACTGTTTTGTATAAAAATGAAAGAAGTAATAATATAATAGATCAGTCATAAGAAATTTAACATTATTTAGTTTTAGTTGTTGGCTTAATATTTTTTTTTTTTGTTATAGTTTATAGTAATAACAATATAGTTATTACAGTAACATAATCAGTTTCTTGAGTTATATTTCAAGTTAGATGGGTTTAACAAAAACTCCAAACATATTATCTCCAATCTCACTTTAAAATAAACCAATTTCTGCTTTATTGGCATACTATCATAAAAACACATTACAATGCCCTTAGTATTCCTTATCTTTATTTTTTTTTTATAATCAATAAAGCAGAGATTGTTTTGATCCTAGACATACAAGGTGTAATCAAAAAGTATTCAACTTTCTTATTTTTCTTTGCACAGTTGGCAAGCTAGGGAGGAGACTATGTTGCCATGTGACCTTGAACCCTAAAGTATATATATGAATTTTGGCAAGCCCAGCCTATTCTTCAGTCACTGTCAGGCAGCTGTGATAGTTGTTGCATGTATACACTGATATTTTTGCATTAGTGATTAAGTGAAAATGATGGAATGTGATGGATCCTGATTTCATGAAGATTATAACCAGAGATGAGACCTGGATCTACAGGTATGAGACAAAGGAACAAACATCACAATGTAAAATACCATTGTCTATATGGCCAAAGAATGCACAACAATCATGCAGTAATGGGAAGGTCATGTTGATTTTTTTTTACCACCAGGGCATAGTTTATCATGAGTATGCCCCTCATGGACAAACTGTGACAAAGGAATAATCCTGATTGTTTTATGTCACCTAAAAAATGTCAGCTCTTCTTGCAGTCTCACAACTGGTTCATTCATCACATCAATGCTCTGGCCCATGGATCATATCTCATCCAGACATTCTATTTAAAACAGTGTTGAAAAGGTTCAGTATCCTTCTTACTTCCCAGACATTGCACTGGCTGACTTTTGGCTCTCTCCCAAACTCAAGATGTTACTCAGAGGAGAGAGATTTCAGGATGCAAAGATCATCATGACTAATGTGACAAAGCACCTGAAAGATATCCCAATATGTGACTTTGAAAGTGCTTCCAACAGTGGAAGCATTGCTGGGAGAAGTCAACTATTGGACTAGTGGGACTATTGTTTGAATCAAGATAGATATGTAGGTTTTTCCCTGGCCTCAGGTTAGATACTTTTTGATAAGACCTTGTATTTATGATTATTGGTCCTGGACATGTATTTTATTTTATCTAATTTTCTTTTTACACTGATTTTATTGTTGCCATGTAAAATAATTCAGATATATTTTTTTGATTAATCACAAAAAAATTATAGGAAAACTTTATTTGACCTTTTTATTTGGAAAAAAAAATGTTTGATTTATATTTTTAATTGTTCAGAATTATTATAAATTATATACAAGGATTTTTACAAGTTATTTACCATAGGAGATTGTGCAGAGAAGCATCAGGTGATTGTAGTCAAAGCATCCGGTGGAAGGTTCTAGTGTATTGATTATATGATGCATCATTTTAGATCAGCAATACTGTAGAAAGGAAATTAATTGCATTAAATTCATATATGAAGTGTATAAAATATCAGTTTAAACCTATTTAAATATTGGAAAATTACTTGAAATCATATTAAAGTTTATGAAATTATTTTTGTTGCATATATATTTGCCAAAGATATATAATTTAATTGATTTTTGGTGATAATTCAAAATATTGAAGTGCCATGATTGTACCATTCCAAAGTTATGTAATTTTTCTTATCTTCAGTTTCACTGATGATATTTTATATTTCCAATTGTATGGAAAGTTTTTTGTGTGTTATGTTTATAAAATTCTCAGATTTAAATTATAAAAATAAAAATGAATGCCTTGTTTAAAAAATCATTTCCTCAATTGTTTAAAGTCAACAATATTAAATAAAGGAAATAAAATATTATTATAGAAAGATTTTATGAATAAAAATACATTATTTGAAAAAAGAATTTAATTTTTTTATTTTAGATTTTAGAATATAATGAAAGTTAATATGAATTCTTAACATTAAAATTTTTCAGAAAACTCATATTAGAATAAACCAAAGGATTAAATTAGTTTCCAACTATAAAAACTTTACAGGATCATCTCTAAGAAATTTTTCTTCTCCAGTTTTCAAATAATTTCTGATGGAAAATATATTCCAAAGTTCTTTTAGGTCAAAATTGTAGACATTTTTATCAAAAATATCAAATTATATACATTTTCTATAGTATTAAAGGTTATTTATTCAAATATAATTTCTATAGTTATTTTTTTTATTGCAGTGCGTATGCTTTGTTAAACTGAAACTATTTTGAAATCAAACACAAAGAAAATATTTGTCTTTTTAAATATATCATCATTATTATAAGTACAGTACACATAAGTGTAAAAATTCAGGTGTAAGATTAAATAACAAAATCTACATATTTATAATCTTCTATTGAATGTTTTGTTTTTGAGTTAGTGTCAGCAATCCTTCCTTGTTCTATTGAGATGTAAATGCCATTAATTACATGTTACATCATCAAGGATATCATCTTTAATCCTAGTATTTATAACATTTATTGTAATTTCACTTGTACTTAATGCATCTAGTGCCACAATTAATTTGAATGTTTGTATATGCATACTTTAAACAATGTATTCAAATATGGATTTTATTATTTCATTGTTTACTTTCTATAGAAGTATCTTTTCATTTTTCTTCCCTGCTATTTTTATTATAAACATGATTTTTAAAATTTTTTCCTCATATAAATGTTTCAAACTTAAAAGTAATGTGAGGTTCCACAAAAAACGGGTTGAAATTAAACATTTATATTAGAAATTTATTAAAACAAAACTAGAGAGAAAAAAACTCCGTTGTTAAAAACTGATCAAAGATCAGATTCAGTTGTACTAGTCATATCAAACCGAGACAAGAAAAAAATACTATTAATGTAAGACATGACGCAATAAATGTAAATGAGCGTCCTCCAGTAGAGATGGACCTTTGAGAAGGCGATCATATACAAATAATTAGACATAGAAAGTCTCGAAGAGGGGAAAGGTTAATTATAAAAGGGGACATTGCGTCAGGTTGTTAAAATTCTACTACACCTTCCATCCAGATTTAACAGATGGTGTCGGGTAAATTTCCCAAAGCAAACCTTCTCGTGACCCGAACTGGTCTTGTCTTTCACTTAGGGACAAACGTGGAACCAATCAGGATGGACAGAAAGGGGAGATTGGAGATTGATGTAATCCCCACTCATCAAGAACACGACACACTCAGCGAATCAACACACAGGAGTGAAAATTGGAAGCGCTGTGTCAACACTGGGGATGAATCTTTTCCGTCTTGGTGCCGATACTGAAACCGTGACGACACTGACCAACGGAGTCTCACGAACTGTTTAACAACACTGCCCTGGGCCACCTATACAATAAACAACTAAAGGAGCATCGACACTATTGACTTCCAACCAGCCGATTGTGTTTAGAAAATATTGTTTCTAAGTGTAAGTTTATTTTTCAGCTAAAATAAATGGGTTTTTGTAAGATACTTGTCATCTCTGTCTCCTCCTCCACACCCACACTTGAACGATCCTAGATCATCCTGACGCAGGATTAACAATCCCCATAAGAGTCGGGAAACTTACACTGGTGCGAGAAGTGGGATTTTAAGTCCCCAAAATCCACCAGGTCAGCGAACTTACAGTAACATAATAGTGCATACAGTAATTCAATTGTGGTACTGACACGTTATTTGGACTCTGAATGATACTTCAGTATACACTACAGTGTTCCGTGTAGACTCGAATTCTAGCTATGTAAACATCGTAGAGAAAATTCTAGCTAGATTTAATTTTCCATTCTTTAGCGATACTAGTTTATAAATGTGTGTACACTTCATCAGAATTTGCTTTACCTAGACTGCTGCTAAACTCTTAACGAAACTTAATCATTATTCATATACATTGCGGTATGTTTTTGATGTAGAGAACTCACTCTAGAGTAGAGCTTCCAAAAAATTTATTTAAAAATATTAAGAATTTTACATACTGTATTTTTTTCATTCTCAAATAAATATAGGAAGATGCCTTTTAAAACTGTGAAGGAGACGCACACGAGTGTGGTGTGCATCTCCTTCACACTATATTGAACAGAGATAGGAAAATTACACAACTCCTGAGTCTGGTGCTTTTTAAAATGACTCCGATTCTTCATTCCTGATCAGTGTTGCCGCCTGCTTCTGGTGGAGCTACCCTGATGGCACTTTCATTTTACCCCAGACTGAGAAAACTCTCCAATCTTGACCATCATCGAGCTCATGCTCGGATAAAAAAAAAAAAACCGATTCTATGACGCACATCCCTGTACTATTATCGTAAAATAATCAGAACAATTCTTAATTCATTGTTTTTAAAAATCTTAATAAATAAAATGTCTTAGGATTTTTAGGCTTTATCAGAGATATTAATTTACATCTGATATGGAGATAATTGATGTTTTAGTTTGGTAATCCCAATTTGACAAATGAGAAAAAAGGTCTTTTAAATGGTCTAACTAAATAAAGATGGAAAACTTGCCAAGTGTTGGTTAAACGGTCACTTCACCGTGCCAGTATACAATACATAAAAAACAACACGGTTTCGATAACAACAAAAATGGTCTTTTAAATAACAAAATATAACCATAAGTCTAATGAATGCAATTATTTAACTTAATTTTAATTAATTCACTTTCAACATGTGTTGTGTATCTTAGCTGAAGATAGAAAATTAAATAAGCCATTCACTTGATTTCAAGCATACTTCAATATGTAAATGATCAGTTTTAAAAGTTCATTTACTGTACTGTATTTACATATATATTTGCATTTTACGACACAGATTCATCAATTAGTAAACACGCATTCATTGTTCTTTTAATAGTGTTTAATTTGCATAAGTGATGCTGACATAAATTTATGCTTTGTTTTGACAATGATTAGGAAACACTTATGGGAAAAACTGAATAAACATGTTTAACAGACTATGAGGTAACTTCCCGAAGAGGCATTTCCTAATTTGCATAGCATTAAAACAGGATATACGTTGCATTTTAGGGTTTGTAAGGTGGTTCATCCCTTCGGAGGTTGAAAATTAAGGGGGTGTCCCTTTAAAGTCACGTTTATGCAGAAGAAACAAGAAATTAAAAACAAAACTGCATTTGATTTGAATGAGGAAACAAGACAAAGGCTTTGTTGTTGTTTGTATCCATTCAAAAAATTTAATGGTTCCTATCAAACACTTACAAATGATGCCTTACAGATGACAATTACTGATATAAATATTCAAATAAAACAAAATGGCACACACGTTTACTTTAAAGTAAGTGCTGTATGTCACTTTTCATTTTCTTGGATCACTGAGAAGGAAGGAAATGATTATTGATGATACCCATCAAGGACTTTGTAAATAAATATTTAAATTCTGAACAGATTCTAGTTTATGTTTTGTTTCTTTGCTACAGTTAAACAATGATAAATTCAAAACACAGTTCTTTTAGTTTTGCTGCAGGAATTCCCAGTGTTTGCTCTAGAACTCGTTTTGGATTGATGGGAGAAGGTAATGCAATTACATCGGCAATATTCCAAGATGGAGTATGGAATATGACAATGCAACATCTAGGCAATTTGCCTAGGTGTTGCATTGCTTCTAGGACTTTCTATGGGAAACTGGCTTTTATTTAGATGTTGGGCAAGTGAAAACCCTGGAAACTCCATATGACAAGTCCACTGAGGAGGCATGAATACACAACCAAGGTTCAGTGGTACCCATTGAATACCGCTAAGTTTACCACTTGGCCACTTTGCAACTGAAAAAGTTTTAACTAAAATTCATGAAAACTCCTTTATGAGAATAAACAGTCATGTTAAATATAATTATTGAATTTTTATTCTTCCAAGAAAACAGAGCTTAATTTTATACAGTATACCTTGCTTTATGATGGCCTAAGTTTTCTATGAGATATTTTGTTGCTTATCTCTGAACTGGGTTTTAATGCTTCATGTGTCACCAACATTAATGTTAATTTGTTCTCATTTTTTGCAGATAGTAAAAAAAAAAAACACATCTGTATGTAATCAAATCAAATATTGATGTGTTTTACTACTTAAAATCTTACGGAAAGATTAGCACGAAACTTTTACATCTATTCCATTTAATTCCCTGATTGTGATATGTTTCTTGTTTAAATTAAATTTTCTGACCATATTTACCATCACAAGACTTATGTTTGAATCTGAATCGGAGCTTCAATTTTCCTCCATCTATCCAGACTTTCTACATGAACACATGATGAACACTTAAGGTTTGTTGAAAATTGTCCACATGTTATGTTGACAAATGGGCATTATGCCAAGGGGTGCCACTTGGGAGGACTATACAAGAAACTGGCACCTATTTAGGTGTTACAAAGGTGAAGAAAACCCAAATTCCATACAGCCAGCCTGTTGGCAGAGAACCCATGACCAACTATCGGCATTCTGTGGTTTTATTCATTCGGCCGTTGGCAAATGCCTTAATTTAATAAACTGTTAGACTAATTTGCCAAAATATTTAGCAGCTCATTGTACAAGTTCCCTAAATCCTGCCATTTCAAATCTTGTAGCAAATTACTTCATCCTACTAATACTGAACTTCTACATGTTAAGTAATTTTAATTAAAACTATAATATATTCATTTTAATAAGTTTTATTTGAAATTTTAATATATCTTTATGTTACAACATTCAGTTTTACAATTCGACACCAAGTCTTTAAAAGAAAAGAAAAAAACAATACAAAATATTAATATGTTGGCTTTTCCTTCTGTATGGGAAGCAAATGAAATCTTCGCTTTATAATGAGTCTGTGTTTGCTATATTTGTCTTCTGGGGAAAATCTGGCTGCAAATCAAAACTAGTGTCACAAAAAGCTACAAATAAATTTAAAATGACTAAAATGTCTTACCGGGATGAGCCGATACAGTCGGTTTACCCTCCTGATCCGTATCCTGAAAAAAATCAATGTGATAGTATAGCAGAGATCTACATTAACTTCTACATTTTAGATGCAGTCAGACCAGTTTATCCGTATCAAATGAGACCGAGCCCAACTCGGATTAACCGAAATTGGTATGGTACTGGAATTAAAGTATAAAATTCTGTACCGAAAAACTTTTTAATAATTGAAAATCAATTTAGATACTTTATTGACTTGAAAACAACATTAAAATTATTCAATACATTCAAATGGTATGTATCTTTATCCTTGTAATCTCACATTTGTAAGGGTAAATGATGTTCCAAGAGATATATCTGAAGATGAAGATTTCTTTTTCATCTCTGTTTTGTAGACACTAAAAGAGCCTTTTACTGAGGCCCACGATGGGCCCGATTCCATCCCAAGTCTCCAGAGCAGTACGAATAACTGTCGCNAATGGGCATTATGCCAAGGGGTGCCACTTGGGAGGACTATACAAGAAACTGGCACCTATTTAGGTGTTACAAAGGTGAAGAAAACCCAAATTCCATACAGCCAGCCTGTTGGCAGAGAACCCATGACCAACTATCGGCATTCTGTGGTTTTATTCATTCGGCCGTTGGCAAATGCCTTAATTTAATAAACTGTTAGACTAATTTGCCAAAATATTTAGCAGCTCATTGTACAAGTTCCCTAAATCCTGCCATTTCAAATCTTGTAGCAAATTACTTCATCCTACTAATACTGAACTTCTACATGTTAAGTAATTTTAATTAAAACTATAATATATTCATTTTAATAAGTTTTATTTGAAATTTTAATATATCTTTATGTTACAACATTCAGTTTTACAATTCGACACCAAGTCTTTAAAAGAAAAGAAAAAAACAATACAAAATATTAATATGTTGGCTTTTCCTTCTGTATGGGAAGCAAATGAAATCTTCGCTTTATAATGAGTCTGTGTTTGCTATATTTGTCTTCTGGGGAAAATCTGGCTGCAAATCAAAACTAGTGTCACAAAAAGCTACAAATAAATTTAAAATGACTAAAATGTCTTACCGGGATGAGCCGATACAGTCGGTTTACCCTCCTGATCCGTATCCTGAAAAAAATCAATGTGATAGTATAGCAGAGATCTACATTAACTTCTACATTTTAGATGCAGTCAGACCAGTTTATCCGTATCAAATGAGACCGAGCCCAACTCGGATTAACCGAAATTGGTATGGTACTGGAATTAAAGTATAAAATTCTGTACCGAAAAACTTTTTAATAATTGAAAATCAATTTAGATACTTTATTGACTTGAAAACAACATTAAAATTATTCAATACATTCAAATGGTATGTATCTTTATCCTTGTAATCTCACATTTGTAAGGGTAAATCATGTTTCAAGAGATATATCTGAAGATGAAGATTTCTTTTTTGTCTCTGTTTTGTAGACACTAAAAGTGTTTTTTACTGAGGCCCATAATGGGCCCAATTCCATCACAATTCTCCAGAGCAGTAAGAATAACTATCAAACCAAATGTTTATTGTCAAGGAGTTGCATTGACCATCCATTACAAACTACTTATTTATTTTACTCCTGCATGATACGGGAATGAGATTCTACTAGTCATTACACAGATATTCAGTTCCAAACATAAATCTCTTCATTATATAGGATTTAATGATATAAAAACAATAGCCAAAACAGGGTTTAATTTACCACAATTTAAACTGTCTGATTTCAGCTGTATTTACCCAAAATTAGCATAACAGGGAGTTGCAATTTTAGTGAAAAACAACAACACACCTCAAACTGTTTTGGAAATTTTATAGAGTTGAGTACAATTTAAATTTGATTGCACATGCAGGCTTTGAGTCAGATATTTTATTATTGATTTTTTAAAATGAACACAGATGATTCTACTATACAAAGATAATACAATATATAAGTATGTAATATGGTAATGCATAAATACTATTATACATAATAGAATGGGAAAGTCACTTGCTCTAAGGATCTGGATTCTATTCAATATCAAACATGGTGGCCAAATGACGGCACTGCCTGCTCACACTCAACTCGTTGCCATCTCCATATAAAAGTACTATTTGGAAGCCAGTACTTATTTCTTACACGTCAAAGACACTTAAATAATAAACTACACATGTAATAACAGTAAGAAGTGTTTGAAAGTATAGGTTCTATTAGTGGTCCTCATAATACAATAGCTGATCTTGACGAACAAACCACACGACCATTAAACAAAAACATCACGCTCGCATGCATACATTTAGGCAATTTAAATGAACAAAAAGAAACACGAAACAACTAAACTTACTTTAAGTGTGTAAATGCGATCTCCACTTTCATTTAAATAATATTTTAAATACATTTTTAACGTGCAAATACAACCACATGGATATCTCAGAATAATAATAAATACCCTCTAGTGGCAGAAATAGTTCCTACATCGTACAAAATATATTACTTAATATTAACATTAAATATTTATTTTATTAATATTTATTTACTATTGCTGTTAAAGATTTTAAATAATGTTATTCGAAATGTATTAATAAATAATAATTTTTTAAGTACGCAATTACATACGAAAGTATTGTACTGTCAATTCTGTGCGTTCGCCATCTTATTTGATTCGGTTTTCTCTTTAATTTCGTTTATTTTTTTGGCCATTTATCTATTTATTCGGGTTCGAATTTACTTCGCAAATTCGAACCCGAATCTTACGCGGTGATATACAATGGTGCTCAATCAAACGTCACAACTTTCATTGTTAATATTTATCCATTGTTTCTGAATTACCGGAAACTGTTATTATAGTAGTATGATATAAAAGTTGTTTGAAAGGCCTTCAAGAAGAAAGGGATTTTTTTTTATCGGGCGCAGAGAAAACTTGGAGGCTCTTAGTGATTCTTGCCCGTATAAAATTAATTAATTAAGACTGACTTTTAATAATAACGAAACATTCTATAAATTTAATTTGTTCAAAAACAAAAGGCCAAAAAGGCCCTTCAAGTGGCTTGGGTCCCCACAACTCTCGACCAAAGGCTAGATAGGAAACATGCCACTCCGAGAATACGGGAACGAAAAACCACAAGAACCTTTCGGGGTGTTCTGTCTGTATATGTCATACCCAATCCCTCATCACAGGCCTGGCCGAATCCATGAGGCTTGCTAAAGAAAAGGCCGCTTAGTGCCACAAGACGGAGATAGAGACGATTTGATATATTCTGAATGTATTAATGGTACTTGAACTCGTCGCAGGACGTATAAAAATGGCAAAAACGTTAGGGATCATCTAATTACGTGTAATTTTTGACTTGCTCTCTCTCTGTTGTGTACAATGATGTATTTTTGCCACCTCTCGTTAAATTGCAAATACGATAGTTCGTGGACCCCAATATCGAAGAAACGACCTCAAATAATTCTCAAATATTTTCTAACTGATGGTTTATTTGCTTGATTAGTAGGCTTCCTTCTTTGTTTTTGAAAACCCTTTCTGCCTTGTGGGCACTAAAAAGATCTTTTAAGCAACTTCCACTGTGGGTTTGGTCGGTGCCACAATGGAGCAACTCGACCTATAACCTCGACTGTTTCTTCTCGTAAGCATGAAAAACAGTTCATATGACCATCTTGTATTTCTTCCATGTGTTAGGAACATTGAGTTTCTTTATGGCAATGTGACTTGGCTGATGCCTTCTGAAACACTATTTAGGTGTTACTAACATTTGAGTCAAATCATCTGGATAACTCAAGAAAGTAAAACAATGCTACGAAGATTTTGAGCTTGCATTTGTGTTGCAAGTAGCATGTCAACTCAAGTTTGAGTCGATTGCCCCAAGTTGATGTGCTGCTTGCAACACGAATGCAAGCTTGAAATCGTTGTAATGTTAATGACGAACCGACGAGTTTTCTGATCTTTATCGGAAACATTTAATATAATATTGTTGCTTAAACAAAAAATTTTATTGTGTTCAGACTCTTAACATCACAAATATAAAACAATAAAAATTACAAATAAAGACAATTACTAGACAATTATTCTATCTTCTTTCTTGCTCTTGAAAAAGTTGCTTCTTCAATTTCCACTTTTCGCCTCCACTCTAAAAAAATTTCAATAATTATATAATGTCTGCAATTAAATACTGTGCTCAATACAGTACTATGGAATGCTCCTCACCGTGGGTGTGCCGCCGACGTCTATAATTTCTGCTTTCTGCCTAGACGGAGATTCAGTTTTTGTGTCGACAAGAATGGAGTTTGATGGTGGTGCCGCCAAAGGTGCTTCTAGACTCTGTACAAAAGAAATATAATTTTCAGAATACGGATTTTCTTTTAGTTTTATAAAGCAAAATCTATACCTTTCCGGGTACCATGGCTTCGTACTGATGACGAAGAGTCTGTAGCTCAAATTCACAAGTCGCCAGTGCCAGTTTCAATTCATATAGCAGAACCATATCGCTTCTAAGTTCATTGAAGAGTACACAAATCTCTTCGGTCGGCATTGGATTAAGATCTAAACGGGCAGGAATGTAAATGTAGTTACAAAAACAGTAACTAAGTGTGTACAGAAAATTTAATTACTAGAAATATTCTATATTTATAATATGGAATCCTGTATTGATCTTCCTGAATTGTACGTCGATCAATAGAGTAATCACCTAAGTTTCATGTACTATCTGCAATCAAATGTCTTCTTTTCTGCTGCTTGTAGAATGTGCCATAAACAAAAATGATGTTCCGCAATAGGGAAGGCATTTTGCACTCTGCCATCCACAAAGTCAGAATTGATCATCACCACACGATAAGAATGTCTGCCTTACATGATGAATCATTTTGAAATTGTGTGATAAACTCAAAAAATCTTTAAATATTATGTTGCACAATGAGCGATTCCGACTTTGCAAACTGCAGAATACAAAACATTTTCTCTGTTGCAGAGTCACCGTTTTCATCTACACTTCCTAGAGGCAGTAGACAAAATGATGTTTAAGTGTGGACGGTATACAAAATTCTGTCAATTATTCTTTTGATTGATGTACAATGCACACTTCCTAGGTAATAATTATCATAATTACAGTAATTTAAAACAATGGAATTCTTTTTGGAAGACCATGTAATACTGTCTGAATTTAGTCAATAGATATATACAGAAATATTTCTGATTAGTTGACAGCTCTATTTCCAGTTACTACTAATTCTATTTATTGTCTTTTGCAAGTCACAATGTTTTATGTTAAGAAAATGCTTCTTTCTGCATGGCCATCAAGTAAAATATGCAAATAAATGTATTTTTTATATGAAACTGTATTTGGTATTTTTTATAAGAAACTGTAAACTGGATACAGTAAAGTAACTTATGTATCTGATGAAAGTGCAGCCATATTAACTTTGTATGTCTATGGACTCTAATCTAAAAGAATATTAATATAAATGAGAATTATTTGGGTATTTTGTTTGGGGCAGTAGCTAGAGTGGCTAAAATCAGTTTGGGGCAGATGCATAATTATTATTTATGTAATCTTTTATTTAAATTACAATGTTAAATGAATTTCCAATTGAGAAACTCACCTATTCCGAGCTCGTGCAACAGTTGTTCAATTGCTTTGGCTTTCTTTTGACCGACAGAAGAAGGAAGCTTCATCTATTTAATTTATAAACAATAATTTTAACTAACAAAATAAAACATTAACTATGAATTTTTAATATTATTCTAGAAATTAATTAAAATTTTAATTAAAAAAGGAAGAAATTAATAAATATATTTGTGATATTTAAATGCAAACTCACTCTCTGACTTCGGAGAGTAACTCCGCTGTTTTTGAAGTCGGGGAATTTTATTCCTGCCGTCTCCAGTGACTAAGAGAAGAGTTTATTTTAAAAAAATAAAAATAAAAATAATAATAATAATAATATGGAATGTATCAAATTTAAAAAATATATAGAAACTTACGGCAACTTCTGCTTTTGAATTCTTCTGGGGAGGAAGTTTTTTCTTTTGTCCCTTTCTTTCGGCTCGCTTGGCTTCGGCGCTATTGTCGGCTGCCGTGATAAGTTTTTGTAGATCCTGTGTTTTCTTTTCTCTTTCTCGTTTCCTCATTTCTATTTTTCGTAATTCATTTAATAATGTTTGCTCTTCTTCCATCTGTACATAGAAATATATTACAATTTATTGTGGAGGCACTGTCAAGTCATCTTGGCTGTTGATGACTTTATTTTAACAAACAAGAATATGTTTTGGAAGTGGATGGAGAGGATTTAACAACCTTGTGGCAGTTAATTGGAACTTTCATGTAATACCAGCAGCATGTAAACCTATGGGCCCAGAAAGGCCTAATGGTGGTATTCTTTTCTTCTTTAATGAATCTACAGGTTATTTTGAGCTATTGGATTTTAACCTAGACATACTTGTGGATAGTCTAACTCATCCAAACGTTTTTTGCCTCTCAATCCATCTTAATACTGATTATTTATGCTAGAAGTCCTTGAAAACAGCAAGATGTTGGTCTTGATTTGTTATCTAATGTACATTAAAATCGCCTGTCAGTTTGTAAACTGACAGGCGATTTTAATGTACAGTACATGTTGGTCACAAATTAAAAAATTTTTTTTTAATACAGTGTCACCACATATTTATGATGTGAGGCAATCAAAAGAGTTAAAAGTTGACACTAATGGCAGACTGTTTTTACAGCGGTTAATTGAACACGACCTTATTCTTCTCAATGGACGAACCATAGGAGATTATCCTGCAGAATTGACTTTCCTTTCAAGTATTGGTAGTTCGGTTAATGACTTTTATGATTGTTTATCAAAGCACATGTCATTTAATAGAGAGTTTGAAGGCAGAAAGTTTGACGTTATCGGATCACTTCCCTGTGACCTTGTATTTGTCTTATAGTTCTGAATGCCTTTTGGATGGGAAGACCAGTTTCTCTAAGACTCGCTTTGTTTGGAATGAGTCCGAAGTAGGTGAATTGCTAACGAATCTGTAGATGATTTTTACAATGTAGTAATTGCTGATTTATGTTCCTTGATAAGAAACTTTGACATTTTAAGAGAGGGAATTAGGGTTAATAATGTCCATTATTGTCCCTGGTTGACGAATCTTGTCTCATACTTAATTAACAGAAAGTGGAATCACGCCCTTCATATTTTTTGAAGATCAGGTAGCCAGGCTGAAGTCATCTCTTTTTTAAAATTGAATAGAGAAAAGCATTTGATAGTGTAATCTTACCAGGTCTATTTACTAAATTAAAAGCATTGAAAATCTCCAATAAATTTATCAAAATAATACAAAGTTTATTTGTAGGGTTAGAAGTCATGGATTTGTTACTAGTTTATTCACCACAGAAAGTTTTAAGTTAGAAAGGGGCCTTCCACAAGAAAGGGGCCTTCCCTTAGCCCTTTACTGTTCATTTGCTATGTTAACCCTTTTGTTCATTTACATATCATTTGCTATGTAAATGATATGGTGCAGACTTTTGATGATTTAAGAGACGATGCCATTACCTTGGACAGTTTTGACATCCAACTATTTCAGTTTGCAGATGATAAAAGATAATCAATGCTAAGTTCCACTCCTGGTATACAGAAATATTGGACAGTTGTTGGGATTTTTTTTCTTATTATCAACAATTGCTTTATGTAGTAAAGAAAACGATTGCCCAGATACATTTAAATAAATTTCATTTAACTTGGAAAAAATTTAAGGTTAATTTTAATTCTCAGATTGTACACAGGGGAGTACTACTTTGAATCATTGTATATACAATTGTGAAAAATTCGTTCTTTTTCATCCATGAGAAATTTAAGAACTAGCTCTGAATACACACATATATAGATTTAATTCAGTAATAATAGTTTTCAATGTAGTCAGCAACTATTTAAAAGTGTTTTAAAGAGCACATTGATCAGAAGCTAAAATATCAATTAAAATATTTTATACTACACAATATAGAGCCTGTAACTGGCGCGCTATGCGTATACAATGTATATTGCTGTTGACAAACGTTTTCGTGCAATCTCTTTGCTCTTCTTCAGGTCGAGTAGAATTCCCTAGACAGAGTGTATTCTATTTGTTGGGATCAGGTGTCAATTCTGACGCATGTCAGAAAAGACCCACTCCATCAGAATTGACACCTGATCCAAACAAATAGAATACACTCCGTCCAGGGAATTCTACTCGACCTGAAGAAGAGCAAAGAGATTGCTCGAAAACGTTTGTCAACAGCGATATACAGTGTATATGCATAGCATACTGGTTATAGGTTCCGGATTGTGTAGTATAGATTTCATCCCAGTGCTAAGTGTAGAATATTTTTTCTGTATTTAAAATATTTTAATTTTGAGCTTTCCTACCTTTATATTCAAGCCAATGTTATGCTTGTTGATGATTTATTCATTGCTTGTTACATTTAATAACAATATTTTTCTTAAAATAATGCAAATTTGAAGGTTCTGATTTAACTTATAGTAATTATACCTGTTCTGGAGTTCTATCATGTAATTTTCTCAACTGTTCTTTCCGTCTTCTTTCATGATCGGCATCAAACACTCGAATCTTAGGTTCTTGTCCCGCAGTAGCTCGAACCTGTTTCAATAAGAACAAATTTATCAAATTTAAGGAATAAATATTTAATCAATTCAAAAAATACAGTAATTTTGCATATAACCTTGGATTAATAGTGTTTAAAATTTTCTTTAAAGGGATAGATATAGGTTATTTGTGCACTTTTGAGTTTGTTGCCTGATAAAACTGCTAAAGGTTACTTTAGTACCATAGTGGCTAACTTAAAGCAAGCAGCTTTTTACCTGTGCAATGCATCCTTTTGTTTTCAATTACAAACTTGTCAAACAGTGTCTCCTTTTTCTAAATGTAACAAGTGTACAAACACGGAAAACCTTTTGAGTGCTGTGGATTTATTTGTCTGCCCTCACAATTTTTCTTGAAATTGCCAAAGGCACATACCCCTTCTTTAGTCCTCTTGCTTCTAATTCTGTATACATGCTTTAATTCTGCAGTAGAAAAACTGCTATTTTTGAAGGTAATAAATGTATAATTTTGTTCTATTGCTCAATATCTATTATTTTATTGGCCAATACAATTTAAGATTAACATAAGCATTTTTTCATTTAAATTTGTAACTACGAAAACATCATATATACCATATATAACATCAATTTTCCACCTTGTGCCTGTAAACACACACAATATTTACATTGGATTTTCCAATATAGCCCTCATAATTAACATCTTTTGGCATTCTTCTGCTTTGTTTCACATGTGCAACATGACACTATTCACAACCATTGCATGCAATAAGTACATGCAAAATGCTGGTATCAGAAATTACAGAAGCATAGGTCTTTAAACCATTTCTTCTGGTACAGATTCTTGGAAGAAAGATTTCCTTTTGGTAGTTTAAAGAAAACAGAAGAACTTGGGCGTTTTAGGGAAATATGTCTGAAAAACAACAAGGTAAATGAAATTTTACAAAAGTAGAGAAAATTCAGTAAAATGGATAACAAAATAGATGTTAATAGGTCTGTTTTGTTATGCCATTGATTTACATACTACACCTGAAGGAAAACAAACTGAAATGGACACAAGTTTGATTTGTCATGCCAGTAATTTACTTCCTGGAAGAAAGAATTATTAAAACAGACATTGGTAATTCTGTTTTGTTAATCCATTGAAATATACACTAGACCTACTACATCCAGCACATTATACAAAGTACATTTTACCTAGTCATTGACATATGTATTCTTACTCCCTTTTCAAGTAAATCACAGGAAACAGGTTTCATTTAACTTCCTAAAATCCACTCCCATTTCAATTAAATATGTGTTGTTAATTTTGGAAGTAAGAAGTTAAAGTTTACATGTTATTGAAATGAACCTTTTCAGACAATTTTAATTAATTAAACAACATTAATTAAAATGAATTTTTTTAAAAAGCTGTCTTCAGTTTAAAAAAGTAATTTGCAATTTGCAAATTCCAAACTAGAATTTACAATTAAATCAGCTAATAAATAGTTAATAGTTAAGCGTAAAAAAAGAAATTGTATTCCAATATCCTCCATTTTAGCCATTACAGTTACCTCCCCCATTCCTCAATATGCCCACTGACCAAGGAAATAGACATAATTTGAATAAAATTCTAATTTAAAGTAAAATGGCAATTTTCAGCCAAACATTTTGTTCTTTTGGAAGGATTAAAAAAAAAAAATCTCCTACTTCTTCCCATTCTCCCTCCGGATCCTTCTCTTTTTTTACTCCTTCCTATCCTTTTCAATTTGGATCATCATCTCCTGGTCTTGCTTTCAATCTCTTCCTAGATGTTTTGTGTTTTTGAGTTATCCTGATTCCTCTACATTTTCTTAGAATATCATTCCATATCTTTTGATATGGAGGAGTAAAAAAAATGGATCCAGAAGGAGGAAGGAGATCTCGTAAAAGGGGCAGTTGCAGCAGAAAGAAAATAAGATTCAAAAAGTTATAGTGAGGGAAAAAAATAAACATTATTATTAAAACTAAATTTAAAAGTAGAGCAATTTATTTACTATATAAAAAATACATGAAAGATACAAATGAATGTGGAACAAGTAACCTTAAATTATTTTATTCCAGTAATATTGTTACAGAAGAATGTAATTTTAGAGTAACAAAAAAAAATTAAAGAATAGAAATGAGTAATTTGATCAATGTAGGAAAAGTGTAACTGTGATAGAGAAAACCATATTGCTTTTGTCAGTTTAGACATGTTCATGTTGCATGTGGTATGTGTAGTTGGTTGGGAAATAAAACAAAGCACCCTCCTTACTCATTATCCCATAGAAAACAGTTTATTTCACTGCTTAAATTGATACTTTTAGAAACTCATATTTAAACCTGTATCTCAAAAGCCAACAAGTTTCCAGTAATTCCAGCTTTTCTATATATAAATAAAGTAAATTGCTTTCACAAAATCCATTGAGCCATCTTTGAGCAACAAGAATTTGAATGCAATTACCTTTTTCTGCTTGCTGTACTATTAGGCACATTATGTCAAGTGAAACTCATTCCTACAACAATGAAGTTCAATCAAACTAACAATGTTTGAATTCTAGATACCTGAAGATAGCTCATTAGCCAAAAATGTTTGGCATATTTATTATTTTTTAATGGACTTCATGTAAGTAGTTTTGTTTATTTACTTATATTTCTGATGAATTCTGTGAACTGTAGCTTCTCTGTATATTAAAAGTCAATGAGAAAAGCACATATAACTTTACATGTTTTTATGTACATTAGAATACACTTTGGGAATCATCCCTAATGAGATTAATAACTGACAGAATATTCAGCAGGAAAAGTAAAGAAAACTACAATAAGTGAAAATTTTGTGATAGAGTTTACCTTAGCTAGGATATTTCCAATGTTATAATATCTTTCTTTCAGATCCTCTACGCTCCTTTCTGAAAAGCGCGAGCGATCCCATCGATCATGAATGACAATAAATCTTAAGTCAAATCTTCTGCACAGGTCAAACAAATGATCTGTTTCTTGGCGGGTCCAGCCGTCACAATGTAAATGCTGTTGGTAATCCGAATCAGAATACGACGGCACTTGCACATTCTATGTTAAGAAAATAATTATTAATAAACAAAGTAGAAATCATTTATATTATCAAAAATCTCCAGTTTATTTGCCTTTAAAATAAATAATAAAAATTAAATTTTACATAAAAATATTAATTATATAAAAATTTTGCTCTAGTGCAGTGTTTCTCAACAGGGGCAATATCGCCCCCGTGTGGGCGTTTTTCCATGTTGAGGGGGCGATTAGTAACAATTTATATTTTGGGGGCGAAAAACAATTTTCTGGGTGATATAGAAAAACATTATATTAAGAATAATTAGATATTTTATTCATTATATCGTACAATAATTAAACAAACAACATTACTAGTCACTAGTCTATTCAATGCAGTACGAATTTGGCATTAGCCTTGTCCCTCGGCATCGGAATTTTGTAGTGAAGGGGGCGATAATACGTAACGGTTTAATTGAAGGGGCTATGTTGAAGGGGGCAACAATTCGTTAGAGGTTGAGAAACACTGCTCTAGTGATTATCTTTGTCTTCAATTACAATTTAAAATATTCATGAATTATAATGTGTGGAAGGCATTATAATTCATGAATGTAAACATATCTATTATTTCTAGGAGAAAAAAAAAATTGATTGATAGATTAAGTCCCATGTTTTGGCCCACAATAGGGTGGCCAAATGGTTAGGGACAAGGCTTGATGTATCCAGATGAACCACCCTGAAAAACTTCCTGGGATTTTCAACCCACATGGATTCAATCCAGGGTCTCTGAGAGTGGTAGGCAGACATCTTAACTACTCAANCTGTACCGAAAAACTTTTTAATAATTGAAAATCAATTTAGATACTTTATTGACTTGAAAACAACATTAAAATTATTCAATACATTCAAATGGTATGTATCTTTATCCTTGTAATCTCACATTTGTAAGGGTAAATCATGTTTCAAGAGATATATCTGAAGATGAAGATTTCTTTTTTGTCTCTGTTTTGTAGACACTAAAAGTGTTTTTTACTGAGGCCCATAATGGGCCCAATTCCATCACAATTCTCCAGAGCAGTAAGAATAACTATCAAACCAAATGTTTATTGTCAAGGAGTTGCATTGACCATCCATTACAAACTACTTATTTATTTTACTCCTGCATGATACGGGAATGAGATTCTACTAGTCATTACACAGATATTCAGTTCCAAACATAAATCTCTTCATTATATAGGATTTAATGATATAAAAACAATAGCCAAAACAGGGTTTAATTTACCACAATTTAAACTGTCTGATTTCAGCTGTATTTACCCAAAATTAGCATAACAGGGAGTTGCAATTTTAGTGAAAAACAACAACACACCTCAAACTGTTTTGGAAATTTTATAGAGTTGAGTACAATTTAAATTTGATTGCACATGCAGGCTTTGAGTCAGATATTTTATTATTGATTTTTTAAAATGAACACAGATGATTCTACTATACAAAGATAATACAATATATAAGTATGTAATATGGTAATGCATAAATACTATTATACATAATAGAATGGGAAAGTCACTTGCTCTAAGGATCTGGATTCTATTCAATATCAAACATGGTGGCCAAATGACGGCACTGCCTGCTCACACTCAACTCGTTGCCATCTCCATATAAAAGTACTATTTGGAAGCCAGTACTTATTTCTTACACGTCAAAGACACTTAAATAATAAACTACACATGTAATAACAGTAAGAAGTGTTTGAAAGTATAGGTTCTATTAGTGGTCCTCATAATACAATAGCTGATCTTGACGAACAAACCACACGACCATTAAACAAAAACATCACGCTCGCATGCATACATTTAGGCAATTTAAATGAACAAAAAGAAACACGAAACAACTAAACTTACTTTAAGTGTGTAAATGCGATCTCCACTTTCATTTAAATAATATTTTAAATACATTTTTAACGTGCAAATACAACCACATGGATATCTCAGAATAATAATAAATACCCTCTAGTGGCAGAAATAGTTCCTACATCGTACAAAATATATTACTTAATATTAACATTAAATATTTATTTTATTAATATTTATTTACTATTGCTGTTAAAGATTTTAAATAATGTTATTCGAAATGTATTAATAAATAATAATTTTTTAAGTACGCAATTACATACGAAAGTATTGTACTGTCAATTCTGTGCGTTCGCCATCTTATTTGATTCGGTTTTCTCTTTAATTTCGTTTATTTTTTTGGCCATTTATCTATTTATTCGGGTTCGAATTTACTTCGCAAATTCGAACCCGAATCTTACGCGGTGATATACAATGGTGCTCAATCAAACGTCACAACTTTCATTGTTAATATTTATCCATTGTTTCTGAATTACCGGAAACTGTTATTATAGTAGTATGATATAAAAGTTGTTTGAAAGGCCTTCAAGAAGAAAGGGATTTTTTTTTATCGGGCGCAGAGAAAACTTGGAGGCTCTTAGTGATTCTTGCCCGTATAAAATTAATTAATTAAGACTGACTTTTAATAATAACGAAACATTCTATAAATTTAATTTGTTCAAAAACAAAAGGCCAAAAAGGCCCTTCAAGTGGCTTGGGTCCCCACAACTCTCGACCAAAGGCTAGATAGGAAACATGCCACTCCGAGAATACGGGAACGAAAAACCACAAGAACCTTTCGGGGTGTTCTGTCTGTATATGTCATACCCAATCCCTCATCACAGGCCTGGCCGAATCCATGAGGCTTGCTAAAGAAAAGGCCGCTTAGTGCCACAAGACGGAGATAGAGACGATTTGATATATTCTGAATGTATTAATGGTACTTGAACTCGTCGCAGGACGTATAAAAATGGCAAAAACGTTAGGGATCATCTAATTACGTGTAATTTTTGACTTGCTCTCTCTCTGTTGTGTACAATGATGTATTTTTGCCACCTCTCGTTAAATTGCAAATACGATAGTTCGTGGACCCCAATATCGAAGAAACGACCTCAAATAATTCTCAAATATTTTCTAACTGATGGTTTATTTGCTTGATTAGTAGGCTTCCTTCTTTGTTTTTGAAAACCCTTTCTGCCTTGTGGGCACTAAAAAGATCTTTTAAGCAACTTCCACTGTGGGTTTGGTCGGTGCCACAATGGAGCAACTCGACCTATAACCTCGACTGTTTCTTCTCGTAAGCATGAAAAACAGTTCATATGACCATCTTGTATTTCTTCCATGTGTTAGGAACATTGAGTTTCTTTATGGCAATGTGACTTGGCTGATGCCTTCTGAAACACTATTTAGGTGTTACTAACATTTGAGTCAAATCATCTGGATAACTCAAGAAAGTAAAACAATGCTACGAAGATTTTGAGCTTGCATTTGTGTTGCAAGTAGCATGTCAACTCAAGTTTGAGTCGATTGCCCCAAGTTGATGTGCTGCTTGCAACACGAATGCAAGCTTGAAATCGTTGTAATGTTAATGACGAACCGACGAGTTTTCTGATCTTTATCGGAAACATTTAATATAATATTGTTGCTTAAACAAAAAATTTTATTGTGTTCAGACTCTTAACATCACAAATATAAAACAATAAAAATTACAAATAAAGACAATTACTAGACAATTATTCTATCTTCTTTCTTGCTCTTGAAAAAGTTGCTTCTTCAATTTCCACTTTTCGCCTCCACTCTAAAAAAATTTCAATAATTATATAATGTCTGCAATTAAATACTGTGCTCAATACAGTACTATGGAATGCTCCTCACCGTGGGTGTGCCGCCGACGTCTATAATTTCTGCTTTCTGCCTAGACGGAGATTCAGTTTTTGTGTCGACAAGAATGGAGTTTGATGGTGGTGCCGCCAAAGGTGCTTCTAGACTCTGTACAAAAGAAATATAATTTTCAGAATACGGATTTTCTTTTAGTTTTATAAAGCAAAATCTATACCTTTCCGGGTACCATGGCTTCGTACTGATGACGAAGAGTCTGTAGCTCAAATTCACAAGTCGCCAGTGCCAGTTTCAATTCATATAGCAGAACCATATCGCTTCTAAGTTCATTGAAGAGTACACAAATCTCTTCGGTCGGCATTGGATTAAGATCTAAACGGGCAGGAATGTAAATGTAGTTACAAAAACAGTAACTAAGTGTGTACAGAAAATTTAATTACTAGAAATATTCTATATTTATAATATGGAATCCTGTATTGATCTTCCTGAATTGTACGTCGATCAATAGAGTAATCACCTAAGTTTCATGTACTATCTGCAATCAAATGTCTTCTTTTCTGCTGCTTGTAGAATGTGCCATAAACAAAAATGATGTTCCGCAATAGGGAAGGCATTTTGCACTCTGCCATCCACAAAGTCAGAATTGATCATCACCACACGATAAGAATGTCTGCCTTACATGATGAATCATTTTGAAATTGTGTGATAAACTCAAAAAATCTTTAAATATTATGTTGCACAATGAGCGATTCCGACTTTGCAAACTGCAGAATACAAAACATTTTCTCTGTTGCAGAGTCACCGTTTTCATCTACACTTCCTAGAGGCAGTAGACAAAATGATGTTTAAGTGTGGACGGTATACAAAATTCTGTCAATTATTCTTTTGATTGATGTACAATGCACACTTCCTAGGTAATAATTATCATAATTACAGTAATTTAAAACAATGGAATTCTTTTTGGAAGACCATGTAATACTGTCTGAATTTAGTCAATAGATATATACAGAAATATTTCTGATTAGTTGACAGCTCTATTTCCAGTTACTACTAATTCTATTTATTGTCTTTTGCAAGTCACAATGTTTTATGTTAAGAAAATGCTTCTTTCTGCATGGCCATCAAGTAAAATATGCAAATAAATGTATTTTTTATATGAAACTGTATTTGGTATTTTTTATAAGAAACTGTAAACTGGATACAGTAAAGTAACTTATGTATCTGATGAAAGTGCAGCCATATTAACTTTGTATGTCTATGGACTCTAATCTAAAAGAATATTAATATAAATGAGAATTATTTGGGTATTTTGTTTGGGGCAGTAGCTAGAGTGGCTAAAATCAGTTTGGGGCAGATGCATAATTATTATTTATGTAATCTTTTATTTAAATTACAATGTTAAATGAATTTCCAATTGAGAAACTCACCTATTCCGAGCTCGTGCAACAGTTGTTCAATTGCTTTGGCTTTCTTTTGACCGACAGAAGAAGGAAGCTTCATCTATTTAATTTATAAACAATAATTTTAACTAACAAAATAAAACATTAACTATGAATTTTTAATATTATTCTAGAAATTAATTAAAATTTTAATTAAAAAAGGAAGAAATTAATAAATATATTTGTGATATTTAAATGCAAACTCACTCTCTGACTTCGGAGAGTAACTCCGCTGTTTTTGAAGTCGGGGAATTTTATTCCTGCCGTCTCCAGTGACTAAGAGAAGAGTTTATTTTAAAAAAATAAAAATAAAAATAATAATAATAATAATATGGAATGTATCAAATTTAAAAAATATATAGAAACTTACGGCAACTTCTGCTTTTGAATTCTTCTGGGGAGGAAGTTTTTTCTTTTGTCCCTTTCTTTCGGCTCGCTTGGCTTCGGCGCTATTGTCGGCTGCCGTGATAAGTTTTTGTAGATCCTGTGTTTTCTTTTCTCTTTCTCGTTTCCTCATTTCTATTTTTCGTAATTNTTTGATCAAACCCGATGTAAACAGGTTGCTTCCAATTTGAAAAAAGAAGGTTATTATTTGCAACCATACACAGCACACCTAGTACTCAGCATTTTGTTCTTCACCTAACAAAAATATAGCTTTAAATATTTAATGACTTATATTTAAATCATTTTACCTTATATAAAACTTAGTCAAATAAAGCAGTTACAGAAATATTAAAATAAATCACTTCGTTAATCACAAAATTGGACGAATATTAAAAGCGAAAACTAAACACGTGCACACCCTGCTCTATGTAAACGAGACCTGACCTCTATGTAAACAGAGAGGTCAGGTCTCGTGCTGACGTCACTAACTTGGCATTCCTGACTAACATTGTAGAATAAGGATCTGGCTATCCTTGTAGTATATAGTCCTTGGGTTCAGCCAGATTCTCAATGGGGAGACCGACAGAGCTCGACATATCCGGACGGACCACCTCGAAAAATTCCTGAGTATTTTCCGATCCGTTTGGATACGATTCCGGGTCTCCCAGAGTGGTAGACTGCCACCTTGACGGCTCGGCTATCCGACCTTCAAAGATTTTTTTGCCATTATGATTTTTCTTTTAATATTTTGTAAAGATTACCTCATAGACATTTCAAAAGCACAAAGAAAGTTTTGTCGTTGACCTTTATAAAAATCGCTGTAAGCAAAAAAACCATGGAACTACATACTGGCACTGCACCATTCGGGCCACAGTTGCTTAACATTCGTTTTGAAGGTTCAAATGAAACAATATTTTTTAAATACCGGACTGTGCATGCATTAGATTACAAGTCGTTTCAGTTTTCAAAGAATGTCTGTGCGACGTCTTAAACGAACGTAGCTGACTAAATATTCGCTCAACAGATGCTTTGAATGATGGTAATATCGATAAACTCAACAATTTTTCAAGATTTTGAAACAGCAGCATTTTTTAAAAAATAGAAAAAGTTAAAAGACCAAATAAGGCCAATGTCCCGCGCCAATTTTCCTTCCTATCATGGGTTGGCCGAACTAACAACGCGTATGGAAAAAGGCCCCCTTAGTATCCACATAATGGAAAAATGGCCATATACACTATACGTACTTTACATCGAGATATGACAGAAAGACATCAAAACAAATATACTGTATATCAGTAGCGTGTCGTGGAAGCCTAGGACCTGGAGTGGATGCTACACATATAACGCTTCCAATTCTATCCAGGACCGGTTCTTAGCCGCCCGCCCGCCCGCTAGATATTTGACCGTCCTCGTCCAATTATGTGAATAAAGAGTAGATTTATAACTTATCCCAACCGATAAGAATTTACTGATATGTTTTTACGATAGTTCTGTATAGTTGACAGGAGTTTAAAAAAATCTATTAAAATATTTGATATTTTTATTCCGCTCTCCCATCTTATATTACTTGCAGATTTCAATGTTAAACCAGTGATGTTACGATTTAGTAAGTTCCATCTTTAAAAAATTAAGGGGATGTAGAAGTAAAAGTGTACAATTCTTGTATAATGTTAAAAAAATTAACCGTTACTTTGGTGGCATAATTTACAACTAAATTTATTAAATGAGAGAGATGCACGAGATACAGAAAAAGCTCTAGAATTTATTTTCGTTGCATTTACGATTTATATATCCGTTTGTCATAAAAATTTGCCTTTCCACTTTTTCCCCGAGATTACATTTCGAGTACTGTACATAGTAACCGGTACATATTCGAGTACAAAGTAACCGGTTTCGACTTATCTCTACTTAAGAAGTAGTTAAATAATTAAGCGATTATGGAATTGGGGACATAAACAAAACCCTGACGAAAGAGCCGGAATTTTACTTAAAAGCTTAACCGAACCAATCTATAGCCGAGTACAGTGGGGACTGATTTCTTTGAAATATTAGACGTAATAAAGACAGAAATTTTTCCAGTTCAACGAGAATGACAGAAAAGTTGTAAATTTTGGAAATTTCCGTGGACAACACTTGGTCCTAAAACGAATTAGTTAAAAAGCAAATGACAGACAATCTATTAAGTTCAACATATTTAGATTTTTACAGCTATGATGAGAAACGTTTAAAATTTACAAGAACCCTGTCGTGTCTTTTGAGGTATACTAGTGATGAGACAAAAGAGACATTTGAAATTGACTGGTATCGGCACCCTCGGGATTTGGCAACCCGCGTGCATGTACACACCGCACACCTAGCAGGACCGTCCCTGATTCCACTCTTAAGGAACTATTTGACTNGGACAAGGCTTGATGTATCCAGATGAACCACCCTGAAAAACTTCCTGGGATTTTCAACCCACATGGATTCAATCCAGGGTCTCTGAGAGTGGTAGGCAGACATCTTAACTACTCAAAATCTAACTGTCAGCTGTAATTATTAAACTAAACAAACAACATTGGACTGACACTGTTTGTATATGACAACATTTTATTCTAGAGGTACAAAATGATATATCTACATGCTTTCAATATAGTGAATGAGACATTTAACTAATAATGCTTCTACTCTGGAGGATGGAGAGAATAATGTAAGACAAAACTACATGAAAATTCTTTGGGACAATATTCTAATGCTCTAAAGTCCATCACTATTCTTTAAAACATCAATTAGATGTAGAGTATTATAGAATATAATGTAAAGCATTAGAAGTAATTACTTTAGAAAAAGCAGATATTACACAAGTAATTGTGTAATTAAAAGCATCAGTAACAAGAGTATACTCCAAGCGAAAGGTCAGCAATTTTTCACAATTGTTGTGTTTTAACACATGTAACAGCTTTATTTTGCAAAAAACCTATACCCAATTTTTTATAATTTAAAATAAAAATGTTGCATTATAGTAAGATTAATAATGCATAGTAAGTATAATAACGCAACCTAACCTAACAATTTCTTAATGCATTTCTAAAAGTATAGTAATAACTTAAACAGGCTTTCTTTTGTGAATTATTAATGTATAAATAAATTTTCTCATTGGAAAGTACAGTGGAGGCTCATCACAGAGAAAGCAAACTAAGGCTATAATCTCCATATAAACCTGGGAAGAAAAGAAAGAAAAAAAGTTCAGTGGAGTCTCTATAGTTTGTCACTTGCCAGTCTGACATGTTCAGTAACATAAATGCCACAGGGTGGCACATGAAATTTTAGTAATACCACTCATTGGTGTAAGTGACAATGAGAGAGATACTAATGTATGCATATATTGTCAGTTGTGAGTCATTTGTTGCATGTGCAGTCATCAAAACAGTCACAATTGTGATTCATATAATAAACTAACCCATGAACCAAGTATGTTTTTTACTGTACAACACAACATACATACAAAATCTGGTAATCCAACACCTGCCAGTCTTATTGGGCTGCAATTTGAAAAAAAATTGCAGCCCAACAAGAAAGGAAGTTCGACTTGAACCATCACTGAATTAGTTATTTTCATTGCTTAATTTTTATTCTTTTCTTCTGTTAAATCCCAGAAACTAAGATGCACCACTAGAAATCATTCTGCATGCCATAATTTGCAGACCTCTGCCATAAGCCATAACAATATTCAATACTAAAAAATTTAATTATTTAATTTTAACAAATAAAATGTTTTTATTAACTAATGATTTCCAATTAATGAATGATTATATGCAATCATCAATTACAAAACCGTAGCTCAGGTTTGTGGTCCACAAGGACAATACATGTACGAATATATGCATATGTTTTTACAACATGCACTGATAATGAATTAGATAATTTTTTTAAAACATTTTTAATATTAATATTTGTATAATATTTACCTTTTTACTGACAATTTATTTTAATTATTTACTATCTAAGAGGAGCATTTGTAGCATTCACTTATTTATTCAGTGCTTGGAACATATGCTACTCCTTTGCAATGCCTCTCATTGATTGTAAATATTAGTCAAATTAGTTCAGCTTTTGTTTAGTTTAAAATAAAAAACAAGAAACTAAACATTATTTAAAAATTTTAGCTATACCATCATTGTCAAAATAATGAAAGAAGTGTCAGTGTGTGGAAAAAATTAACTAGAGAGAAAAAGTGTCAGTATGTATTACACAATTTATGGTCATAAACTGGGACTACGTAACACACAATTACTGAAATCCCAGACAAAAGTTGAACAGACTTTTATATATTGTGTTTTATCTTTAATTCATTAAGGATAAAGCTGTTTTTTAGGTATAATGTATTAAACACTTTACACACCTTATTAAATCTTGCAAAAGGATAATCTTTTCCTTCGTCTGCAACTCTTCTCCAATGGTAAAACAAAACACCATCCTTCAAAACAGAAAATAAGTTAAAAGTAAATACATTTCTCCATTTATAATATTATTTGTTCATATATTTCATGTACCTTTCGAGCAGGATTTGAAAACTGCATCCATCTCCATGATCTGACGGTTTTCAGACCCAGTTTGGCTTTGATCTGTTTATATCCTTGCCCCGTGTCGGACGGCAATATTGGCGGCGCATCTCTGCTGAAATATTCAAAAATCTATTGAGGACTGACTCTATGTTGCAAATCATTATGGCAAAAGAAAAGAGTTAAATACCTGTTATCTGAATAGAGTAATGCATACAATTCTCGATGCATTCCTTCGGGACGTTTGAAGGTCATGTCGACCATTTTCTTTTTCCTCTGAATAGCAATTTTTTAAATTTTACACAATAATTTAAAATTTGTTTATGAAATTAAAATAAATGTCTGTATGTTAACATACATTTGCAAGTCTCACCCTCCTTTCATTTCCTAATATGGCATCTTTACTCAATGCCTCGGGAGTCTGGGGACGATCTACGTCCAGAATGTCCAGTACGTCACTCATCTTGTTTTAATTATAGAGAACAATCGTTGATAAGTATCTGGAATAATGATGATAATAATTTATACAATTAATATTAGAAATGGCTTCCATTCTGAAAATTTGGGATTGAATCCACACAAAGAACTCCAGAAATTTTTCCTAAATATGTCAAGCCTCATCCTACGCCACCAAGCTGTCTCATTGTGAGCATGGCAAAACCCATAACCACTGCAAAAAAATGGCATCTTAGTGTTCACAAAACAGAAAAAAGTAATAATAAAAATGATAATTTATCACAGAATGACTTAAAACAATTATTGTGTTTACAATCTAGCTTTTAATGTAAAATAGAACAAAGTTACTTTGGTAAACTAATAAGAAGAAATATTCAACATATAATGCTTGTTTGACAGTTTATGGCATTTGAAAATAAAGCTCAGACATTTTTAAAGCTTGGATTTCTACAGTTAATACGCTATATCTTTATTATTATTAGTTAAGAAATTTGAAGATACATCAACCAACATTATAAATTGGTAGGTTGGCAAGGAACAGGATTCAATATATCCAGATCAAAACACATGAGAAAATCATGTTACATACAGAAAATGATGTTGCAAGAGATCAAACCCATTTCTTGAGTATTGGGGGAAAATATCTGCAACATAATATACAAAATCACGACATGCGAGTGAGATGACACAAAACCATGATCTAATGCAGTGGTTCACAACCATTTTCACTCACATACCACCCGAGCCTCCCACATATAGACTTGCAGCACTAACAGATCCTTCTTGCTTAACCACGACATACATTGAGAACTGTTGATCTCGATGTACATCATGAACTGTCAATCTAATGTAATCTGACCTACACATATAAGTTAAATATCAACATCTAAAACTTGACAGTTATATATTGAGCCAAACGATTGCTGGATTATTACTACTACTATGAATATAGCCTGATATACTCTGGCAATCATTTTGCTTTAACATATAGGTTAAGTTAGATCACAAACCACACACCGCCACTGGATCACACACTAGAAAAGTGCCAAAATGACATATTAAGTTGCAGATATTTTACCACAAAACTCAAGAATGGGTGTTCAATCCATGCATCATTGTTTTCTATCCATAACATGGATAATAGGAGGCATGAGGATACAAGTATGTCACTAAATAAGAAAAAAAGATCAAAACCTTACCAGAGCCGTAGACCACACCCGTAGGAGCAAAAACACTCAAAGAAATGTATGACCCTCGGCAAGATACAGCCTACTTCAGGGTTGCATGCAATCGGAAGTCATATCATCCCGCCAAGACAATCAGTTTAACTATTTAGCCCACTCGACTGTTCATGGAGTACTTAACGCCATATTAGTTTTAGGGAGCACAGGGCTCACTTTACACAGGCACCACGAGCTATAGCAAGCACCAAAGCATATGACTACATGCTCCGCATCGGTCGAGGCGAGCAATTGCGCACTTTAACCAACATGGAGAATAGGCAGTATACTGGCAAAAATTGACCTTTGGAGGAGATTATATTGCAAAGGATCTCATGTACGGGTATGGTTCCATTGACTGTTTCCTCGTAGGATGTTTACAATTCAGGGGGTGGGTGGGAAACCCCTTATTCAGAGTTCATATCTTACCCATGCTCAAGAAGTCATAGGAGAAGCAGTTATAACAGGGATTAAAATAAATCCGCTCAAGCTGATTTTAATTAGAAAATTAATAATTTATAAACAAATCAACGCGATTATTTTATAAAATAAAGATAGTTACATATATTTTTTATTTAAGTAAATATTTTAAAAGTTGAGCCAAAATCATTCAAAACGTCCCCAAGACAAAGTTTTTCGTATATTATACCGATTACCTATTAATTTATGTTTCGTAAACGTATATTTTGCTTAATTTTCCTTATAACGAAGTCGAAGTCTCGTCTGACAACACACAAACAAAGAAGCCATCTTGAATGGTGAAGTGTTGCCAGATAAAGTTATTTTCCCGAAAATATCGAATTTTTTTTATACTTTTAGTATTTTATTACTAAATTATTGACTTTTTGTTAACGTATAATAATAATAATACAAGTAAAGGTAAAACTTTGGAGTTTTGCAACTTTTTTAAAAAACTATTTCCGTCCTATGGACCCTATTTAGCAAGACCTTTATGGGTTCAGCCCAAGGACTGTATACTACAAGGATAGCCAGATCCCTATTTTACAATGTTAGCCAGGAATGGCAAGTTAGTGACGTCAGCACGTGTCCTGACCTCTCTGTTTACATAGAGCAGGGTGTGCACGTGTTTAGTTTTCGCTTTTAATATTCGTCCAATTTTGTGATTAACGAAGTGATTTATTTTAATATTTCTGTAATTGTTTTATTTGACTAAGTTTTATATAAGGTAAGATGATTTAAATATAAGTCATTAAATATTTAAAGCTATATTTTTATGTTAGGTGAAGAACAAAAT